GGGGGGTTGGTTAAGTACTGGATCACAATTGCTCCATGAATAAATGACAACTTGGGTTGCCATATGTAGTCGTTAGTAACCAGAGTTATCTATATACAAAAAATAATGACACACAGAAAAGAGAGGATTTACCTCTCATTTGTTACCTATTATTTGCGTGACCTCTTTGAAGAAGAGCTGCGAAATAATTTCGAGCAAAAGTTTATCTCATACTACGCCTATTATGATGTCAATGTTTGGCGTAGCGAACAACTTTAGTGTTGGATCGAGGAAGTTGTGCTCGGAATAGAACAAAACCGAATGTAACCTCCAACACGAGGCATAAACTGAAACGTAAAGGAGAAATGTCGAATAGATACGGATTAAATCATGGGGTGAGACAGAGCAGCTTATTTACAAGGCAAGGAGTACCAACAGAAATATTGATTGTGTTGTTAAAATATGTGTAGATGATGTCAATATACTTATGTTCGGAAGATTCCTTGGTCGATAAAAGCTCTACCGAACCAGTGAGAGAAGTTCGACCACTATCATTTCTACATCAGGGAAAACAAAGCAGAGACACAAAAAATAGTACCGCCATGGTTACAGGACGTCATTCAGAAAAAGAAGGACCTTAAAGGTGTCTGACTGTCTACGATTACTAGCTAGAGCCCTCCACCACTTGGTAGCGGGTTTGAGGCCTAATTGGTCGATGGTCGGTATTTTTTCTCCGGGTCCTCCGGTTTTCATCCATCGCCGAAACCTGGATCGTTAGATGACTATTGCGGTAAATTATGGTGGCTGATATGTGTCATTTCATCATTTCGTCATTTCGCAGCGAAATAATAATATTTATCGTCTTCTCGCCCCGCTTAAAATCGCCTTTTCGTGGCAAAATAATGAAACAACGAAGCAACCTACACGAAATAATGAAAATATTAAGATGCGGTTCAGTGATTCGTCAGGCGAAATAACGAAATAATTAAATGGCACATATCAGTGCCCATAACGCCAACACAGAATTTGTAGTGGTTGTGTTGGATTTAGTTTTAATTTTTATGTGCGCTCGCCTCGCGCGAAACAAATGTTTTGCGAGAATTTATGATAAGATGTGAGTATTTCCGCTATTCACCAGCTAGACCATCCACGTAGCGAGATACATTGTATTTGCTCCCCTGGCTTACAGGCAAATGGAGTCGAAAAGACAATTAAGTACGTTGTTCATATTCAAAACATCTACACGTGACCTGTGTGTTTAGGTGTTGCGAATTTCATGGATAATAGCGGTGTAAAAGATAATGCCATTGCGTGCTTCAGTCCGAACAGTATGACTTGATTAACACAGACAGACTTTGACGAATATTATAGAATGGTTTTGACTGAATATGTGTCTTGCTTGCTGGAACTAACAACACTTGTGTGTGGTGTAGAAATCGGCTTCTCATATACAGTACACTGAACTTTATCGTGAGTCTCTCCGGCGATGGCGTAGACAGATCACAAGAGGGGCTTACAGTAAGATAGAATGTAGTTTGGCTCTATTAAACAATTTCTTCTTCAAACTTGGGTAATCCTGCAGATGAAGATGCAAGGAACTCGTCTGAAACACCACCACATAATCATGTCAAAGTCAAGTGGCATGGAATTCCGACCTATCAACTTATTGCATTTTATTTAATGTTTAAATGTAAATATTGAGCTTTATAGTCATAGGCAGTATGAATGTTTACTCATTACAGGAAAATTAAACAATGTCAGGAGAATTTTCAATGGCTATTATACGGGTCACTACCTTTATAATTCTGACCATTGATTACAGTACACGAATACTACATATGTAATGTTTGCAACGTCACAACGAAAGTTGTTATTGTTTAAAGTAGGATCCTGAACTCGTTTAGATCGGTGTTTTTTTTACTACAATGTAAATGAGTAAGAGTGGAATTATTCTGAACTCCAATGACTCCAAATGTAATATCAAATAATCTTTTCAAAGTTTTCAATTAATTCGAGTGTTGACAATCCATTACTTAATATCACAGTTTTACTTTATACACAAAAAATGTACGTATAAAACGTGTCGCAACATTTCAAGACTGACTGGTCCCTTTGTCAAGCTATGACTGAGTGAGACCGACTGGTCCCTTTGTGAAGTTATGACTGAGTGAGACCGGCTGGTCCCTTTGTCAAGTCTATGACTGAGTGAGACCGACTGGTCCCTTTGTCAGGCTATGGCTGAGTGAGACCGACTGGTCCCTTTGTCAAGTTATGACTGAGTGAGACCGACTGGTCCCTTTGTCAAGCTATCACTGAGTGAGACCGACTGGTCCCTTTGTCAAGTTATGACCGAGTGAGACCGACTGGTCCCTTTGTGAAGTTATGACTGAGTGAGACCGGCTGGTCCCTTTGTCAAGTCTATGACTGAGTGAGACCGACTGGTCCCTTTGTCAAGCTATGACTGACGTTGCGACACGTTCAATACGTACATTGTTTGTGTATAAAGTAAAACTGTGATATTTCATATTTCCAAACAGGTGGTTTTACTAAGTAATCCATTACTTTGAGAACTTCTATGTATATACAGATACATCTGAGAGCAGTTCGGACTGGAATGTGATTACACTTGGTAATACCTTGTACGTCTTTGACAAACTTTGACAAAATTGATTACCATTCATCTCTCGTTAGGAGGAAGCCTCTGTTTACATCTCCTGACTCTGGACGGCGTAATATTGATGCAGGATACAAGCTACGATGAAAAGGAGGCTGATCGCCATAACAAACCAGACAAACACCACACATTACACAAACTAGAATTTTAATCAAACACCCTTTGAAGTGAATTTTTGTAAAATGATGACATTAAGCTTGAACTTAATCTTAATTCTAAAATTAAAGAATTCATCGATTTTAATGCTGTAAACTCGGGAAAATTGGCGTATTATTTTACATTTTAAACTGTTCAAACTTTTCGTGATATGGAATGTTGGCGTAATGCTGCCAAACTGTATAGGTTATAGTTTATGACTATTCTTGCGTATGCACATTTTCGAGGTCATTTAGAAAAAATCGACAGCATCATTTTCACTTTTAGAGTACAGCATCTCATTAATTACCATCAGCAAATATTCGTTAATTCAATTATTTCGAAAAATCAATTTTATGATTACTCTTAATGTAGTGACAAGATTTGCCGGTAGAGAGTGAGTCACGAAACACAAAGCTGGTAGTTTACGGGCATTGGTACGGTGTAGCATGTATATAATTCCTTATAAACGCCTCATCCTCGACGACAACAGAACGTCAGGTGACTTCCCTCGATATCAACCATGTGTAAGATGTTTCCTGGTAAATTACAGCTGTACACAAATATAATGATTCTAAATCCGAAATCCAACATATCAGTATATACAATGATTTTTTTCCACGTAAACAAAATATCTACATCATCATTTATTTATCTCATCATCACCAGTTCCTGGATTTCCCCATAAACAAGGACCCATAACGCTTTCTCCCGCCATTCCTTGACATAAACAATGTACCATATCTTTTTTCAATTTGTTCAGTGTCATCATTGTTGTCATCAAACGACTCGTTGTTGTCATCCTGGTCATCATCGTCGGATCGTTTGCCATAACGACCGTACCTATACCTAAGTCCTCGCCCACTTCCAAGGTTCAGTGTTCCGTACCGTTTATTCATAGATTCCTCGTCACTGCTGTCGGCGCGTTTGATGTCGCTTCCATAGCGATACAGCATACCTTTACCACTTCCCAAATTTAGGGTTCCGTATCGCTTACCACGAGAGCCGTACCGGTAGCCTCCCCTGTTCTTGTTTCTGCCGAGAAACAACATCCCGTAACGTTTGCGCGGATATCCGTACCTAGACGATCCCATGAATGTCGTACCGAATCTCTTATCCAAAGGTATTTCGGGGTCGTCAGGATACTCGATGTTGGCCATTTCTTCGCTTGTATCTTTGGACGCGTCTTGACTGTAGTCTGATCCTGTGACTCTATACGCGTCCATCAAGCACGCCTTCGGGTTACCGACACAGCGCTCACACACGTCGTAAGCCTTATCCTCCATGCAGCATGTCGTCAACTGCACAGCAATTTCCTCCGGAAGTCGTGAGCACTGGAAACATGTACCGGCTTTATCCAAGTCTTTGTCACAGCGCGTGCCCTCTGACATGTCACTGACAGGAATAGATACTTCTTTTACTGCTGTGACGTAGACAGTGACGTACACCAACACAAATCCGATGGTTCGTATCATCTAAAACAAACGGAAAAGAAATAAGTTGAAATCATTCTATAAGATGGGTACATCCACCCAGCTACCATATTCATTGTTTTGGCACCTCGTTACGAAGGTGGACCTATACTTATCACTAAAACTAAAACAATATATTGACCAACCATGAACACGATGCCAACTTGTGTCCAATCGACTTGCTCAAAATCAGATTTAACTGCAAACCTTCAACTATACATGCAAACTGAGCTATTGACCAATGTCCATCTTTGTTTAGATTCTACTATAGAAACTGGACATATACACAGAAAAAAACACCCAAATATAACATACGGTGCAATCTCATTTTTACAGCCATATCATACTAGATACGAAGGTCTGACGTAACAGGTGCACGGATCTGCGAGAGTACAAAAATCGATCCATTACAGCTTTAACTAGAGGAGATAATACTGCATGGTGGCATGAAAAGGAATGATGATTGCCGCCTCACTTCCTTCCCGTCAAACTTGCATTTCACCAAATGAGACTGGCAAAAAACCCTGTATTCTTTCATCATGTTCAATAGACTGTAACGAACCTTAAAAGGTCAACAGCACATGTTTCAAAGGGGGTAATTATGGTATGTTAATGCATTTCTGAAACTAGACGAGCGACATGATGACAAACCAATCATGTCTTAAACAGGCTGTATTCACAACCAAACAGAATGTTTCAGCAACAAGGGGTGACAAGTCACAAATACTATCTACAGCAAAACCGCGATACACGACCGTAGCTTGCAACACAATGATGCCACAAGAACACCACACCATACATGGACATATCCTACATGACAATTTTTGAAATACCAAAATATAATACATTATCAATGCTGAACTGTGTTGCATGCATATACACGACATAAGAGCTAAGTGTATAATTGTGAGCTTCGCCCGTCATCCAACGTAAATTTTCTTAAACGACTTATCGATAACCAAGAAGTTCAAGGTCATATTTGGCAAGTTGCACGTTCAAATGAATGCTTTTGACAAGCAATCATTATCACTTCTTAGCCTGTAGCATAATTCGATGTGGAGCTATCAAGTTGTTTCAAATAAATAACCTTGATCCTTTTCAAAATTACTGTGGCACAATATATAAAAAGATATATGAACCAAATACTTTGAATAACATAGAGGCATATGGAAAGGTATGGTAAGATATGTGGCCTAAAGCCTTCTGATGTGGATGACCTACATGTAGACTAACATCGCATAAGTACACTAAGATAAAAACTTCAAACACATACCTATAATGTAAGGTAAGGAGTAATGGTTTCAAGCCTGTTTATAATTTTGGGTTTGATCCACAGAAATGTTACACTTTTGACGTGTTTATTAAAAGCATTATATAAATAGTGAGCGATACAGGCCCATTCGGCCTCTTTTTTTTATCACAGTCGCGCACGGAAATGTAATCTCGACTCTCGGTTAGTGGACATAATACAGGGATTGTACCGATGTTTCATCGGGTAATCTCATTTGTGCTAAGCCTATTATAGCCAAGAATCGGTTTAAGAGTGTTCTGCGAGAGAAAACATGCTCCAATCACGCACATTTTCTTCCCCGGTGTTGTAGCCGAGCGCTACACCTCTCCAACTTTTACTATAATTGATCGATACACGTGTTTATTTATTCGGTAAATAAACGAGACAAAAACGAGGTGATTGTTGATAAGTGGCGCTTATCGTTTTGTTGTTGTACCTTTGATGGCGGATAGAGTTACCAGTAATCCGAACGGCGAGGACTCTTTATATCAGATCCAGATTTCGATACCATACAGTCAATACATCGTTGACAATGAGACAATCACATCAATTGATTCCGGTCCGGATCTGTTTTTGCCGTTTTGCCGTTTTTAGACATCAAAGGAACTGATATCGGAGCAACCAAACATATTATAGGGATGAGATAATCGGTCGTGAACATGTTACAGAAAGTGAGTGGAAAAGAGACCGAGACTTTCAATACAGGTTGTCAATAAAGAGCCGTATCAGATATAAAAATGTATCTAGGGACAGCTAGGGGGTACTTGAGTATCAACCACAGATAAACGTCTAAGGGGACGAATATATCAGACAACTTCATATTAATTACTATTACAGGTTATAGAATAATCATCATCTTGATCATCATGATCATCGTCGTCGTCGTCGTTGTCTAATCATACTTTGTACTACAAGGAACCTCATCAATAACGAAGTGATGATACTTCTCATCAATCATGGACGACATGGTGTATGGGTGTGTGTTGTGGTATGCATTTGGTAATACATGGGCCGGTGTCCTGGTATGTAGAGACAGTAAATGGTGGGTGTCGTGGTATGTATTTGGTAGTACATGGGCCGGTGTCCTGGTATGTATAGACAGTACATGGTGGGTGTCGTGGTATGTATTTGGTAATACATGGGCCGGTGACCTGGTATGTATAGTCAGTACATGGTGGGTGTCGTGGTATGTAGTTGGTAGTACATGGACCGGTGTCCTGGTATGTAGAGACAGTACATGGTGTGTGTCGTGGTATGTACTTGGTAGTACATGGGCCGGTATCCTGGTATGTAGAGGCAGTACATGGTGGGTGTCGGGGTATGTAGTTGGTAGTACATGGGCCGGTGACCTGGTATGTAGAGACAGTACATGGTGGGTGGCGTGGTATGTAGTTGGTAGTACATGGACCGGTGTCCTGGTATGTAGAGGCAGTACATGGTGGGCGTCGTGGTATGTATTTGGTAGTACATGGGCCGGTATCCTGGTATGTAGAGGCAGTACATGGTGTGCGTCGTGGTATGTAGTTGGTAGTACATGGGCCGGTGACCTGGTATGTAGAGACAGTACATGGTGGGTGTCGTGGTATGTATTTTGCAGTTCATGGGCCGGTATCCTGGTATGTAGAGGCAGTACATGGTGTGCGTCGTGGTATGTAGTTGGTAGTACATGGGCCGGTGTCCTGGTATGAAGAGACAGTACATGGTTGGTGTCGTGGTATGTAGTTGGTAGTACATGGACCGGTGTCCTGGTATGTAGAGACAGTACATGGTGTGTGTCGTGGTGTGTACTTGGTAGTACATGGGCCGGTGTCCTGGTATGTAGAAAAAGTACATGGTGGGTGTCGTGGTATGTAGTTGGTAGTACATGGACCGGTGTCCTGGTATGTAGAGGCAGTACATGGTGGTTGTCGTGGTATGTATTTGGTAATACATGGGCCGGTGTCCTGGTATGTAGAGGCGTGATGATACTTCTCATCAATCATGGACGACATGGTGTATGGGTGTGTGTTGTGGTATGCATTTGGTAATACATGGGCCGGTGTCCTGGTATGTAGAGACAGTACATGGTGGGTGGCGTGGTATGTAGTTGGTAGTACATGGACCGGTGTCATGGTATGTAGAGACAGTACATGGTGGGTGTCGTGTTATGTATTTGGTAGTACATGGGCCGGTGTCCTGGTATGTAGAAAAAGTACATGGTGGGTGTCGTGGTATGTAGTTGGTAGTATAGGGCCGGTATCCTGGTATCTATAGACAGTACATGGTGGGTGTCGTGGTATGTATTTTGCAGTTCATGGGCCGGTATCCTGGTATGTAGAGGCAGTACATGGTGGGTGTCGTGATATGTAGTTGGTAGTACATGGGCCGGTGTCCTGGTATGAAGAGACAGTACATGGTTGGTGTCGTGGTATGTAGTTGGTAGTACATGGACCGGTGTCCTGGTATGTAGAGACAGTACATGGTGTGTGTCGTGGTGTGTACTTGGTAGTACATGGGCCGGTGTCCTGGTATGTATTTTGTAGTACATGGGCCGGTGTCCTGGTATGTAGATTCAGTACATGGTGTGTGTCGTGGTATGTACTTGGTAGTACATGGGCCGGTATCCTGGTATGTAGAGACAGTACATGGTGGGTGTCGTGTTATGTATTTGGTAGTACATGGGCCGGTATCCTGGTATGTAGAGGCAGTACATGGTGTGCGTCGTGGTATGTAGTTGGTAGTACATGGGCCGGTGACCTGGTATGTAGAGACAGTACATGGTGGGTGGCGTGGTATGTAGTTGGTAGTACATGGACCGGTGTCCTGGTATGTAGAGGCAGTACATGGTGTGTGTCGTGGTATGTAGTGTTGTGGTATGCATTTGGTAATACATGGGCCGGTGTCCTGGTATGTAGAGGCAGTACATGGTGGTTGTCGTGGTATGTAGTTGGTAGTACATGGGCCGGTGTCCTGGTATGAAGAGACAGTACATGGTTGGTGTCGTGGTATGTAGTTGGTAGTACATGGACCGGTGTCCTGGTATGTAGAGACAGTACATGGTGGGTGTCGTGGTATGTACTTGGTAGTACATGGGCCGGTGTCCTGGTATGTATTTGGTAGTCCATGGGCCGGTGTCCTGGTATGTAGAGGCAGTACATGGTGTGTGTCGTGGTATGTATTTGGTAATACATGGGCCGGTGACCTGGTATGTATAGACAGTACATGGTGGGTGTCGTGGTATGTAGTTGGTAGTACATGGGCCGGTGACCTGGTATGTAGATGCAGTACATGGTGGGTGTCGTTGTATGTAGTTGGTAGTACATGGGCCGGTGACCTGGTATGTATAGACAGTACATGGTGGGTGTCGTGGTATGTACTTGGTAGTACATGGGCCGGTATCCTGGGATGTAGAGGCAGTACATGGTGTGTGTCGTGGTATGTATTTGGTAATACATGGGCCGGTGTCCTGGTATGTATAGGTAGTACATGGTGGGTGTCGTGGTATGTATTTGGTAGTACATGGGCCGGTGACCTGGTATGTAGATGCAGTACATGGTGGGTGTCGTGGTATGTAGTTGGTAGTATAGGGCCGGTATCCTGGTATGTAGATGCAGTACATGGTGGGTGTCGTGGTATGTAGTTGGTCGTACATGGGCCGGTGTCCTGGTATGTATAGACAGTACATGGTGGGTGTCGTGGTTTGTAGTAGATATTGGATACATTGGTGAGTGTA